TGTCAGAACTGGGCCAAAGATCCTAGGCCAGGGGAGGGGGTGTTAATTAAGGCTATAGAAATCCCTGAGGCCATGGTTTTATCCTGATGCATTGGAATTGCAGTAAAATTTGAGAGTGAGATCCACAGAAAACGTATAATAAAATGGCCTCTTTATCTGTGAAACAGGAGGAGAGTAAGAAGAAAGCACTGGGGTGCGTTTTGGAAGTCTGGTCAGCCTGACAGATGTGGGGATTGGTCAGGCGAGAGAGATAATTGGCTTTAGTCCCCTCAGAGCTGATCAAGGACTGGGTATTGGCCCTGGGAGGGATGGGGTGATCTGGCTTTAGTGGGACTGCTAGAGGTGTTTGATTGAGAGCCCGGAAAGGGGAGTAGGTGTCCAGATCCCAGGGTTTAGATCTGGGGAGGCAAAGGGGCTTTGGCCAAGGCCAGGGAAAGAAAGGAGAAAAGGCTGAACTGACGCAAAGCGTCTTGCGGATTGCTTAGGTAATAGTGATTTAATGAGAAGTAAATCATATAACCATGGAGAAATTAAAGAACTTTTCAGGTAGGTGATGATGTGGGGTCTTGGTTGTCTACTGAGGTGACTGATGTCTATCTAGACTTTATTAAGCCAGGTGTTAACATTTATCTCAGCCCTGGAGGAGTAAGCCACAGTCTCTGCCCTCCAAGAGGGATCTATAGCCCAGGGAGGCCACACGGGCAGTACCTGGGTCTGCCTTGTGCACAGAGGATGGTTTCTTTCCTGGAAGCAGAGGTCAAGGTAGTGGAATAAGAAGGAATGTGGGAGAGTATAGGCTCTGGGAAAAGAAATAAAAGGAAGTAAAAGGAGGACTAATGCGAGCAACTAACAAGACAAGACAACTTGGGAAAGGGATATAAATAGAAGGGCACTCATACGCTGTTCCTGACCTCAGAGGACAACTTCACCGTGGAGCTGGCTTTAATTTGAACTTCTAAGTGAAAGAGATACAGAAGGGGACAAAACTAGGCCACTGCAACCCGAGGGAGCAGCATGAAGGAAGGTAAGGAGAAAACGCACAGAGCACGGGAGGCGGAGAAGTCGGGTAGTTTATCAGAAATCAGGTAGTTTCTGTGTGCCAGAGGAGAGGAATAGACACTTGCGGGTCTGCGCGAATACAAAGTAGGATGATTCGTGGTTTGAGAGAGCCACAAAAGCTGATATGTTTTTTTAAAGCTAGATTGCTTAGAGTATCAAGGAGGGGAGATGCGACAAGAAGGCGTGAATGGTTTCTGCACAGTGGGTTGGGAGCCCAGGCAGAGGGCAGGAACCAGGCTGCCTGCGTCAATGCTCCCAGCTTCCGGCGTGTCCCCCGAGCGCCCCCTACGCATGCTCCGCTTTCCATCCAATGCAATACCAAGAAAAAAAGTAACCCCATCAATAAATGGACAAATGAATCGAGCAGTTAATTCTTAAAAGAAGAACTGCTCATGGTCAATAAATACATGAAAGAGTTCAGTTCAACATCTTTCATGCAAATCCAGACTATTTGAGACTGCATCTTGCCCCTTAGAAAGCCTATCATCAAGAATACCCAAGTCAGCAAAGGCTGGTGAGGGTGTGGAGAGGCAGGAATTGTTTATCACTGCTGGTGGGAACATCAATTAGTAAGGCATTGTGGAAATCAGCATGGATTTTCTCAAAAAACTAAAAATAGAGCTACCACTTGGCACACCCCCAGAGGAATTAAAATTAGCATACTGTGGAGATCCCCACATACCTATGTTTACCGCGGCGCAGTCACAGTCGCTTACGCTATGGAAATAACCTAGGTGCCTGTCAACAGATAAATGAAATTGTATGCATGGTGAAATATTACCCAGCCATAAAGAAAACGAAATCATGCCATTTGCAGGAAACTGGGTAGAACTGGAGATCTTCATGTTTAGTGAACTAAATCAGATGCAGGAAGTCAAATGTCACAGGTTTTCTCACATATGAGGGAATTAGAAAAAAAATTTTAAAAGGAGAAATGACATAAAAGTGGAGGAGAAACTGTTGGAGAAGAGGAAGGAAGTGCAGGAGAGGCAGGAAGTGTGAAGAGGATGATAGTGAGGAATGAGCAGAGTATGTCCCATGTGCCTGTGATGTCCAAATGGAGAGCTCGAAGCGGAGCTAGCGTTAGATAGCCCTCTTCTTGGTGAAGGAGGTGAAGACCTTCAGACAGTGCAGATACTTGGATGGAGCCGAGGAGCCAACAACATGCGGGAAACTGGAGAAATCGATGGACAGAGCTATCGGCAGTCTTCGAGCCATGGGTTTCCATTAGACTGCTACCTCCTTGTGTGGCGTTAGGCAGCTACTTTACTTCTGTGACTCTCAGGTTAGACGTCGAAAAAATTAGATGTTTGCAATAGTAGCCTGGGCCGTGGTGCCTGAGGAACTCACCAGCTCGGCTGTCAAATCCAAGAGGTGCTACCAGGGGATGTGGCCAGGAAGTGAACTTTCTGGACAGAGTGCCAACTTCTCGTTCTTCTTGTAATCCCACCGTGGTTTTCCTCTACGAAGTTACTGATCACTGCTGCAGAAGGGAAGTCTGGGGTCTGGGGGCTGGGGATTTAGCTCAGCGGCAAAAGCGCCTGCCTGGCAAGCGCAAGGTCCTGAGTTCGGGTTCCGGTAAAGGAGAAAAAAAAAAAAAAAAAAGGCAAGTCTGCCTTTCTCTCTAGCGCGGCCGCTGAGAATGGCTCACTCCTTGAAAAGCTGGAAATAGCCTCAAGGTGGCAGCATTAACTCAAGGTTATGGATGGACAGACGGTTGCGCTCACTCAAGTCAGGCTAACTGCCCTGCTCTTGTCGCCCTCTCTGTGACCCGAATCCCAGGGGTAACTGTTCAGACGTGAACAGTGGCGTAGAACTCCTGAGGAGACCAAACAGGGAAGGCGTCAAAGGCGACACATCACAAGTGTCCCCCAGGAGTCCAGAGCCTTTGGGAGGAAAAGGAAGCCAATATATCCAGAGCCAGAAGAAATAGAGGCGATTCAAACAGATTAATCATTGATCTAAGTTTTGCATTCAGTCAGTGGTGGAGTCTGTTCTCACGTGCCAAAACCCAGGGTTATTGTACTTGACAGTATTAATAGCTGTCAGTTTAGGTAGCTCAAGTTTTTAGAACATTAGTTCCCACAGAGCAGAGGGTGACGGTCTTCCACAGACCAGGTGTTCGGATGAGATTCTTTCAGCTGTTAGGCGCTGAGTCTACAGGTGAAGTTTCTCTTCTCATCCCTCTCCCTTCTCACCCCCTCACTCTCTTTTCTCTCTCCCCTTAGGTCTCTCCTTCTTCTTTTCCTATTTTTTATTTTTGTACTAATAAAGTTAGAAAACAAGGAGGAAATCTAGGTCTTCAGAGTTGGACATGTGCCTCAGGAGATTAACTGCCACAGAAACCTAAAATATAAATAAATGACAAAGAGGAGGAGGAACTAAAGGCAGATGTCTGGAGATAGGGCAGCCAGTGGGGAAGGGAGATCAAACATGATTCAGATATGTTTCATACCTTTGCCAGTTCCCCCAAATGAAGGTAACTATTGCGTGCTATAAACATACAGTAATAAAAATGGACACTGGATTTCTCAAAAGCTTTTCTCTGTCTATTGAAATAATTTTCACACTTTGTTTTGTTATGCCTTGCTTGGTTGATTCTGACTTCACTTGTATTTGTGAGATTACCCGCTTGAATGCAATGTCTAATACATTTGTGATGTTTACCATGAATTTGCCAGTGGTATTGAATTGTCTCTGCCTATATTCAAAATAGAAAATAATCTATTGCTTTATTTCTCATGATGTTTCTATTATCTGATAAAACTGACCTCATAGAAAGAACGGGTACATTTTCCCTATTCTACTTTTTTGGAAGTGATCATGAAGAATTGGTATTAGTTCCTAATTAAATGTTTGGTAGAAAAATAATTCTAACAGAGGTGGGAGAATGTCTCTGGGCTTATATTATCTAGCTTACTATGACATTACCACTTTTTCTTTGTTAATTTTATAAAAAAATAATTTATCTGAACAATAAATTTTTGCATGAAATATTTTCTTGAGAAACAGGAAAAAGCTAGTAAATAGACAACATTTTTGAAACTGGGATATGCACTTGGGAGACTCTGAGAGAAATAGTAATTCTACTGGTGATCTTTTTGTAGAGTCTAAGAGCATCCTTGCTTTTCTGTATTGAACTCCCAAAAGAGAAGTAAGCCGTGAAAAGGTATAGAGACCTTGGGTCAGATAGACTTTGGCATTTCCTTGCTGAAACTACAAGGCTCTATAGGCTTGTCTGGTGCATTCCATCTTCCTGTCCTAAAAGCAGTCATTTCTCCAAGGAACCCTGCTTCCTTTTACTGGAGAACACTGTTAGAAAAAGAGCTATATATTAGGTATAGACTGAAGCTTTCACATCTGTAAAATTGGAGAGATAATTTCTCATAGACTTGGGTCGAATTTAAGTGAAAGACCACATACATATAACAAAGACCTTGGCATGCAAGAGGCAGTTGTTGTCTAATAATTCAGTAAATTAACATCAATGAAATACACCGAATCCTTTGCTTCTTGTAAGCTCCAAGTTTAAACTCATCCCAAATCAAGTTGACTGGAAAACAATTTCCTGAAAGTGTTTTGCTTCACAAAGCTCTTTGAATTTGGAGCTCTGTAGTCAAGGCTGGGATTAAACAAAATGGAGATTTTGATGCAGTTTATTATCCGTGAATGGCCCGTTTAAAAATTCCTCAACCCTTGGTCTTACAGACACTGCCAACTCCTAGTGCGGGGTAGGGCCGAGCGCTGCGTGGTTGCAGCTCATACTCGGAGAGTAGTTGTGATGAAAATTCCCAGTGAATAAGTTTATCCTGTGACCCGAGGGATGGAGGCACCTTTCTGCCCCCTGGGGGAAGGGTCTTAGAGCATTGTTCACATCATAGTAATGTTTCAGTTCCCTCAGGAAGGGACTGTTTTAACTGCTTGTTTACACATCGCTGAGCCATGGATTGGAGTTGAGGCCTTGGGGAACTTCTCTCCAGAGGACCCTAACTCCAGGTAAGTACCGTCTTCTCACGCACCCCAGGCTGCTCATCCAGGTCGGTGTGAGTCATTTTGGGGCCCATGAAAACTGTAACAGCAGCAGAACCGCCTGCATGCTTTTATTACATAGCCTCAGGAAATCTTTTACTATTTGAAATCCAAGGCCTTCAGAGACCAAACAGATTTTCTTTTCCTTTTAGACTTCAAAAAGTTCAGCCCTTGAAGGCAGTTCTGAATTAAGATCTCATAACTCCCAAGGACGTAGGTATGTTTTCCCTGACTTTCTCCTAAAGCCACATTCTTCACACTGTGGGTAGAAATAATAGGCTTAGCTAGGAGAGAGTGGCGCAAGTGTGTGCTGAAAGGGCTCTTAACTCCATTTTCTGCAAGCTCCTCTGCAACGTCTCACAGGCTCAGAGGAGAGGAGTTTCTGTGGGTGATTCTGACTCGCTGTTTCCTAGGCAGCCGTTGACATAGTCATTGCTGGTTGGGATGTTGGTACCAACTGGCTTTACAGTCTGGGAAACAAGTTCATATGACTGGCTTATGATTTCATAGAGATACACTTGTTTGTGCTGTGGAGCAGATTATGGTGGCTGGATTTTCCCACACATGATTGTACTTTGTGTTCTTTTGATACAGGGAAACTTCCCTACCATTCCAAAGTAAGCAAGCACCACTGAAGCTACTACCCTAACGCAACTTCTGAGATTCTAGTTCATTCGTTCACTTGCCAGACGTTTAAGCCTACTGTGTGCCTGCCACTAGCGTGGCCAGTGGGTGATAAGGCAGCGAACACTCACAGAGACAAACAGATGCATTTCTTCCTTCGTGGAATTTAGTAATTCTACTGATGATCTTATCTGGACTTCCCCCAAAGAGGTGTAGTGGTTGGGAGTGGTTTTTCCAGGCTCTTCAGAAGAAGCTTTGATGAAATATTTCTATTTCCAGACATCTGGATGATTTAGTCTCCTTCTCTCTTTGTAGCAATAGAAACCCCTTAAATTTTATTTTTTTGTTTTTAATTTTTTTTTGGTTTTTCTCCAGTACCGAGAACCGAACTTATGACCTTGTGCTTGCCAGGCAGGCGCTTTGCCGCTGAGCTAAATCCCCAGCCCTAAATTTTATTTTTTTAGTTCAATAAACTTCCATTAGACATTTTCCAATGTTCTTTTTCTTTCAAGGCTCCTTGTGATATTTATTCCAGGCTCATGCAGGACGGGAAAGGAAATAACAGCAATACAGCAACACCTCAGTTCACAAACACTTCTGTTCACGAACAGTTCGGGTGGCAGACGGAAGAGTTCAGTAAATTTTGCTTCCTGTCTCGAACTATGCACTGGGTGACAAACACAGCCACGGGTGGCCATCTGTGGAACAAGTTAAGTTTGTGAACTGAGGTACCACTGTGCAGTATTACGTTTTGGATTCAGACCCTGTGATGCTTCAGAGATGACACTGGGTAAAGGAGGCCTTTTCTCTACACTCTGACACCGAATTCTCCCTGCTGCCCCGAATCCAGACACATTTACCAACAGCAGCTGCACGCACAAAGGGAAAGAGCTGCTCAGCAAGAGAGCACAGAAGTGTCTTGAATATTAATTGTCAATAGATGAAGAACTGCCCAGTCAGTAATGTTGGTGATGCCGGTGTGGAGAAATCTGGCCCCAGAAAAGTGGACACCAATACAGTTCAGTAGTTATGCGACTTGTGAGTGATACCGCCTATGTGTTATCAGGCTGCTCACCGTAGATTACAGCGCTTTGTTTCCGCTGTTAGGAACTATATGAATGTGTCAAAAGTCAAAAGAAAAAAGATGAGAAAGGCTGGGTAAAAGTAAGAGGAAGTGCTGCTGCTCAGCTGGAAATCTATGAACAAGTGAAAAAAAGGCTGACAAATGTAAAATTTTGTGAATTTGTTCTATGAATGTGAGAAGACGGTAGAAGGCTGCTACTGCAGTGTTGTTTAACAGGCAGATAGTGGGGGCCAGGAGGTAGAGTGGGAGCAGGACCTCCCTCTCAGCTTCCAGGGATGGCTGAGGTGGTTCTTGCGGAGTCAGTTACGCAGTCAGGCTGGGCCACCCTCTTCCTTTGTGTTACTTGCTAAGGGCTCCTCCAGTCTTTGGCTGTAGGTGCTCTCCAAGGCAAGGCAAGGCCAAGCTGGCTTAAAGCAATTTCTCCTTCTAATGCCCGTTTCTCCTTTGCCTTCCTCTCATCATGCATTTCCTCTCTTCCTTCAGCTGCACCTGCTTCCACCACCCACTCCGCTACAGAGGCTGGGAAAGCCTGCGAGTGCTTAAACTAGGCAAAGGCAGGAGGGCGGAGAGAGTGTTCTAAAATCAGGACACAGCCTTCCTCCAGGCCTGACCGCCTCTAAACTCGTTGCTGTTTCTGAATATTTTTCATTCTAAGTCTAAGTCTAAGCAGGGAGTATGGGCTCAGATAAACAAGAGAACAATAGGGCATCTGTCACGTTTGTCATTCCATTCAATGCACTGTCTTAAATTATAGAGCATTAGGGGAGCTGGGGATTTAGCTCAGTGGCACAGCGCTTGCCTGGCAAGCATGAGGTCATGAGTTCGATTCCTGGTACCGGAAAAAAAACCCAAAAACTTAAAAAAAAAAAAAAAAAAAAATATATATATATATATAGAGAGAGAGAGAGAGAGAGAGAGAACATTACGTACATAGATAAAATAAAAACTGGACACAGAGGAGTAGAGTATTGTCACATGTACAGTTTTCACGTGTGTAAAATGAGGAAAAGAACAGAATTATCCCCCAAGTGTTGATGTGAAGATTGAGTTAAATGAACTAGAGCCATTGGAGTAGCATCTACCATACAGTAAGACATTAGGATTTTTAAAATTACGATTATTTAATTATCTGTGCATAGAAAATTTCAAGAAATGTCTAGTGAGCCTCTATTATTGAAGGGGGATGGGGAAGATAAGGCATGATGGATTCATTTTTCTTACTTAACAGTTTTCTCTTTCTGAGTCTTTAACATTGAGTGAAATCTCAGCAATGATATCTCCAGGCACATCTACAGCGTAATATATATTTGTATCATGTATATGTGTAGAATCTTGGTGTGAACTTTGGATTAACAATACAAAGGGGTGAACTTTGATTTTGATCTCTACGAATGACATACTTTTGTCAAGATTAAGGTTCTTGAATCTGAACTTTCTCATCTATAAAATGGGCACAACAGCACCTATCTCATAGGAGTAAATGCTATAATAAAGTGCCAGGGTCTAGGTGTGTCTTACAGGTGGTACATTACCGATATATGTTAGTCTTCTATTTCTATGTCATTCTGCCTTCCTCTTGTAGTTTCATCTGCTTTGCATTGGCCTTTTTCTTTAATTACCAGGTGAGATTCAAGTTGACATCAATGGAGAATAGCACGGAAACGACAGAGTTCATTCTCTTGGGATTAACAGATGAGCCCAGCCTGCAGGTTCCTCTGTTCCTGGTATTTTTATTCATCTACCTCATCACTGTGGTGGGGAATGGGGCGATGATAGTGATCATTCACTCGGACTCCCACCTGCACACCCCCATGTACCTCTTCCTCAGTAACCTCTCCTTTGTCGATCTGGGCTACTCCTCAGCTGTGGCCCCCAGGGTGCTGGCTGCCTTGCAGTCAGGAGACAAGGCGATCTCCTACAACGGCTGTGCCGCTCAGTTCTTCTTCTTCGTGGGCTTCACCACCGTTGAGTGCTACCTTCTGGCTTCCATGGCTTATGACCGCCACGCAGCAGTGTGCAGACCTCTCCACTGCACCACCACCATGACAGCAGGAGTGTGCACCTTCCTGACGGTCGGTTCCTATGTCTGTGGCTTCCTCAATGCCTCAATCCACACAGTGGACACCTTCAGACTCTCCTTCTGTGGGTCTAACGAAGTTAATCATTTCTTCTGCGACATCCCCCCACTCCTGGCTCTTGCATGCTCCAACACTTGCATCAGCGAGCTGGTTGTGTTCTTTGTTGTGGGCTTTAACGTCTTCTTCACCCTCCTCGTCATCCTCATCTCTTACCTCTTCATATACGTTGCCATTCAAAGCATGCGTTCTGCCGAGGGATGGAAGAAGGCCTTCTCCACCTGTGCTTCCCATCTCACCACCGTGTCCATCTTCTACGGCACCATCATCTTCATGTACCTGCAGCCTGGCTCCGGGCAGGCCATGGACACGGCCAAAATCGCCTCTGTGTTCTACACTGTAGTCATCCCCATGCTGAACCCCCTGATCTACAGCCTGAGGAACAAAGAAGTGAAAAGTGCTCTTTGGAGAATACTTTACAGACTTCACCCTTAATCTCTGAGTGTGGGGAGAAAGGGGGCGGGATAAACTTTCCCTTGGCCCTAAATGCCATCGTGACTCAAGTTCTGGCGGATTTCCGTTCTTTCATTGCCAAGAACAGTGGTCATTTCTGCTATTAGAAATTATAAAAAGCAACACTTTGAAATGTCTCATTTAGGAAGGAACGCTTACTCTTCACAAGGAATAACATGAAACATTGTGCTGTGCTGGATTCTTGATGAGGTTTAAAGTAGACAATCAAAGCAGAGAGTTGAATGTGCTTAACTTTTACCTCCCTATTTTCAAATGTGAGACAGCTTCCAGTCACTATTAAATGTGGCATAAGAATCACACCTTCATTTATGATATTTTTCAACTAGAATGCATAGTATTGTGTTCTGCATTTTTGGTCTGTAGGTTTGAAAGTTTTTTTTGTTTGTTTGTTTTGTTTTGTTTTTGTTTTTCTCCGGTACCGGGAACCGAACTCACGACCTTGCGCTTGCCAAGCAGGCGCTTTTGCCGCTGAGCTAAATCCCTAGCCCCCTGAAAGTTTTTTTTTATTAGTGATTATAATAGTACATATTTATGGCTTACCATGTGATAATTTTGTAATGTATGCAGTATTTGTGGAATGATGAAAGGTAAGTGGTATTTTTATCTCCTTAAACATTTAAACATTGAAATTGTTTTATGAACATGTAATTTTCTAATACTGGCAGAGGATGTTTCAGTAGTTTTATTCATGTTTCAGTGAAGTTATAATTTTAAGGATAGGTGCTCTGGGCCAAGAGTCAGGTGATGTAGGGTTAAGTCCTCCCAGCCCTCCACCCAGCACCCCCACATCCCACTCACACTGACCGACCGAGCACCTTAACACTCTCCAACTCCTCCTGCTAAAGTGCTGGGACAATTTTGGTGTAAAGTAATAAAGCTGTCTTACATACAGAAGAATGGAACATTTCAGTAGATAAATTGCTTGGACTTTAACCTGAATAAACATACCTTTCTTTAGAGAGCCTGCACCCTCTTCTATACTTTTGGTTCTTGTCTAACATAACTACCAGCATATAAAGGTTCGGAGAACGGCAGTGATTTTTCCGAGGGCTATGAGAGGAGATATTTGTCTTCTGGGTTAAATGATTGCATATCTCCGTACCCTTAAGTTTGGTAAATCTATTATTTTTTCAACAGTTCAGCTCATTTCTGAGTTCCTGTTGCAGTCTGATGCTCTGTAATTGGATGCTACCAGAATAAAAAAAAAAAGATCTGCCTGGAAATTTACTTCTTAAGGTAGGAGCGATGTAGTGACACACACTGGTAGTCAACTACAGGTCTCATTTCCTGTCTGGAATGGTGTATGCATGGGAGGTGAGTGGGGATGAATCTTGCTTTTGATGGTGTACGTAGCTACAGTTAATCTAAGGAACCAATACAGTTCATGATTTCAAAATCTCAAAAAAAAACTACCCTAGCACAGTCAAATCAATTTGTACTTGTGAAACCCAAAAATCTTAGTTATCTAAGCCAGATATATTAGCATATCAATTTAGTTTTGAGGTTACCAAACGCCGTTGTGCCCAGGGCAGCCTCTCTCTAAGGAGAGGAAATCACAGGTCCTGTGGAGAAAGGAGCAAAGCGGGGGTTTTGGAACAGGAGGTCAACCTTTAGGAAGAGTTTTCCATGGCCTATGGCACCATCACCCGGAAAGATCAGGAGCTTCTGAATCCAAGGCCTGGACAACACCTCCCTGCGTCATCTGTCCTCCGGCACCACACGCTGAAGGACAGCCTCCAGCGGCCAGCATCCACGACGCACAGATCTCAGCAACTTTTGAGAAGCGCCGGACGTGAAGGTGAGCGTAGGAAGCAGCATCCGGGCACCGGGTGCACGCGACTCCACTAGGTGCTTCCCCCGCTCCAAGTGGCTGCCGGTTCCTCTTCCTGCTCCTGCCTCCTTCCCCTTTCCCTGCATCTCCTCGTTTCCTTCCTTGTTTTCTCAGCCTTCTTACATACCGGTCCAATGAGAACATTCTCATCACTAGGCCCTTAGATCTCTATGGAAAATGAAAGTATATCCCATGTGCACAAGATAACCTGTAGGACATAGTAGGTCAGCTTCTGCGTGTGTTTCTTTATGCCCCACACCTCAGTTTAGTTGGAAAAGTGTGGGTCTCCTAAGCACAGATGACTTCACGCCTCCATCGTTCAATTTCTTGTTGAAATTGCTTCAAACAAGTGCCACCTACGCCTGCGAATAGGTATAGCAAAGAACTAGTTCCAGCATCAAAACCCGGAGGAAAATCCCTACTCCTCTCATCAGTTATATGACCTCAAGGAAGTCAGGTCATCTCTTTGCACCCAGTAGTCTGTAAAGATTTACGATTTCATCTTTGCACAGGATTAGCTGAAGGGGAGCGCGTCCGTCACAGGAATGCGTGTTTAACACGGCTGAGATCCCCACTCCTGCGCTCGCTGGGCTGCTCTGCATTCAGCTCCACTTCAGCTCCTGAGCCTGCGTACGCTCTCTCTGCCCACCGAGCCTTTTCTCTCGACCCTGCTTCCCTCTGTCCCCACATCTCCCAGGTCTAGGGCACACACGTTTCAAGCCGACATCCACAAGTACTTGTTCCTAGAAACTGCTCAGAAGGAGACGTCTCGTTGTCTGTAAGACATCAGTGTGTGGAGCACGCGTTACTGTGGGGAGCTTTTCATTTCCACATGGAAATTCTGTAAAACAGAGACGAACTGCCCAGGTGTTAGCAACACCCATCCTCTCCGCTGCGGAAATGGTCTGAAGGATGGGAAAGTCTGAAGCACGAGGCAGGGGCCAAAATGGCACAGAAAGGCTTCCTGTTGGAAGTGTCCACACAGAATGTGAAAACACATATTATCGGGGCTGTTATTATTATTATTATTATTATTATTAGTGTACTGGGAATTGAACTCAGGACCTTGCACTTGCCAGGCAGGTGCTTGTGCCGCTGAGCTACATCCCCGGCCCAGGGCTATTATATCTTTCAGGCAAGATTATTCATTTCAAAGAGGATTATGATTGAATTTATTTAAATATGAGTCCCGCTTTGTGCATTAGATAATCTGTTTAGCTTTATGTACATGGAGTTGAAAATTAAAATATTAAAATTTCTTGACAGTTGAAGCTGGAGTTGTAGCCCTAGACTCTTTAGCCTTCAAAGTACAGCAGTATAATCATTATGTGTCAGTTAAAGAGAAGACAGCACATGTAACTTCATTTTATTTTATTTTATTTTATTTTAGCACACGTAACTTCAATGAATCCTCTCATTTTGTAATTGAAAACCTCAGGCCCTGCTCTTAAACTTGCTTATACTCAAAGAGAACCAAATCTTACTAGAATCTTTTTCACACTTTAGATCCTATACAGACCTTGATATGTCAAAAGACATTTTTACATTTTTATTTTTATCTATTCCCCATAAGATAGACTTTGGGGCTTTAGTTTTGTGACTAAGGAAACTGAAGCTTTGGAGCAAGAAGGGCAAAGACTCAGGTAAAAATCTTTGTTTCTCTCTCTCCCCCCGCCTCTTTTTGTCTTTTTGAGACAGAGTCTCCCTATGCAGTTCAGGCAGGCCTTGAGCTCACTTTCCCAGGCTGGTCTCGAACTCAAAATGATCCTCCTGCCTCAGCCTCCCAAGTGCTAGGATTACAGGTGTGTGCCATCACTCCCTGCAGCTTCTCTTTTTAATAGTCTTTGCACTTCTTGCTCCAATGCACCGAGGAAAGGAAAGCAGCCATATCTTTCAGTAGATTTCAGGGAGGTCTTATTTGATGCATAAATTACTCCCAGAGATCTTTCATGTTGAGTTCCTCTGTGTGGCAAGCACTCCAGAGAATGCAATAAATGCAAGACTCTAAGAACTAATTCCATCTTAAACAAAATAAAATTTCCCCCGTGTATGTTGACTGACGTCGTGAGTTTAGATATTAATGACTCAGAGCCCAAGAACTTTGTTGGCAGGAATTTTTCCAGGATGCTGCAGCACACGAACGGATCAGGGCATATTTTCTTTCAGTCTTGATAGCTGGAGCTGGAGCTGACTTTTTCAGTGGTGCGGCACTCAGGGATAGCTGATCCGCGGGCCCTGACCACTGGCACAGGCTGCAGGAAAGGTGCGGTGTGAGGTCTGGGAAGGAAGCAGATGACGAGGAACATTGTTCGCACTTAGGGAGCAGCTTACAGAAATGCAGTGGAACAGGGTACATGCGGCTAGGGAGACGACTGTTCAAGGCATTTGTGTTCACTGTCAAATGAGTTGTGCAGAAAGTAGTAGTCAAAACCAATTAGAGTTAAGAAACCTGTGAACAGAGAAGGCTCCCTGGGGGAGGTGGGCTTTGAGCCAGACGCTGAAAGGATAAGATGGGAAGACCTCGGAATTCCAATCTACCTGACTTAGCCTCTCTGTGAGACTGGCATGAGCCTCTTATCTCTGGGCCATTTTCCTGCTCACCAAAGGGGAAATGATAGCCCCGGCCACACTCTCGTCAAGGCTGTTCTGAACGTCAAACAGCAGAGTGTGTGTTGGGAGGAGTATTTTCAAAATTGCTGCCCTCTTTCTGCCTACAGTAGTGCCCGGGTAATAAATACAGGTGAGGAGGAGTTCCCAACCGAAGACCTGAACCCAAGCACGGAGACGGGATTGCACATGGCATGTTGGCAGGAGTTTGTAAGAAAGTAGACCATTCGAGGGGTCAGGGATGTAGCTCAGAGGTTACAGCATCTGCCTGGCAAGTGCAAGGTCCTGAGTTTGATTCTTGGTACCACAAAAAAAAAAAAAAAAAGTGAAAATAGACCATTCAGGTAATTTAGTGTGTATACACGTGTATGTAGAGATAGAATAAATATATATACATATATTCATATATAGAAGGAGAGAGAGAGACAGAGCAACTTTCTATAAACTTATGAGAAAAAGACAGGGCAGCCCAATAGAAAAGTATAAAATTTAATTATTTGTTCTATCTGGTTTTTTTTTTTTG